TTCCACGATGTGGATCTTTGGGCCCCCCCCCCCAAAAATTGATGGTGATTATTCAGGTGTGGTAGGGCAGAAGGAAAGGCTGAGGTGGGGCAGTGAGGAGCTGATGTCAACCTGCAGACATTTGCACTTCACCCAAAAACTTGGAGGTACAAAGTGCAATCATTTAGAGCTTTGTCACTAGAGACATTTGGGTTTGAGTTCTGACTTGCTCACTTACTAGCTGTGTGACCTTGGGCAAGGGACCTAACCTCTCTGAGCTGCAGTTTTTTTCATTTGTAAAAATGGGATATGCCTACCCCAACCCTATAAAGTGGGAGTACACCTGCTCCTAGAATTGTTATGAGGGTTAAATAAAACAAATATGAAAAATATGTATTCAGCATGGTATATGACATATGGTTAATAAAGAGAAGCTATTATTATTTTTATTTGTAATGGACATCTGTTATTTTTTGTCTATCCATCAAATAGTTGCCCTTCCTATCAGCACCCTGATTTCCTTTAGGGGAATTACCTTTCCTGATTAGGCATAGTCTTGGTACCCTCTAGTGTGCTGACTGTCATTTTAGAAGTTGAAGGGGTCCTGGAGGGTCTGCCCACCCCATCTTTCCTTCCATCACCTAGTAAAACCCTGTGGTGAGCATGTGACTTGAGCTCAGCCAATCAGAATCTCTCCCCTGGGATTTTTTTTTTTTTTTTTTTGCGGTACGCGGGCCTGTCACTGTTGTGGCCTCTCCCGTTGCAGAGCACAGGCTCCGGATGCGCAGGCCCAGCGGCCATGGCTCACGGGCCCAGCCGCGCCGCGGCATGTGGGATTTTCCCAGATGGGGGCACGAACCCATGTCCCCTGCATCGGCAGGCGGACTCTCAACCACTGAGCCACCAGGGAAGCCCCCTCCTGGGATTTTTTTAATCATAGTGAAACAAAGGTAGAAGAAACAGTGGGGCAATGCCCAAAGAACACTGCCTTCCCTCCCCTCCTGTTGGTGGCCTGTAAATCATTTACAGGAATGATTAATTTCTGTAAAGTTTCCTTTTGCTTAAGCTGCCAGAATTTATTTCTGTTGCTTACAACCAAAGAATTTAAACATCATTACTTCCTGTCTTTAGGAAACAAGTGATTCCCTTCACAGCCTGCTTCATCCCAGTGTGAACCCCACCATTGCCCTACAGAGAATGTTCCTTAAACACAGTCCAAATTTTTATAGCTTCATGCATATCTTCAAGACGTTCTTTCTTCTTGGTTGCCCATATTCATCTCCCGTTCTCCAAAAGCAAACTCAAACTCATTCTTCAAGCCCTGGTTCAAATGTCACTTAATTTGGGAAGTCTTCAATGACTGTTCTGACCCAGCAGTACAAACGTAGTTAAGCCCCTCCACCTTTTTCATGCTTTCCTTGAGACTTTTACTACATTTCCCATGTTGTATTACAGTTAGGTCATTTGCCGCCATCTAGATCGTGTGGTCTTTGGGAAAGGGAACCAAGACTTAGGCTTGTTCAGCTTTGTGTCTCTAGAATCTACCTGGTCCAGAGCAAGAACGTTTTTGTGGAATGAAAGGCATTTCTTATAAATAGACGAACCACGCAATTTTGTGGACAAGCTTTTATATTGGGGGCATGTCTAGATAACTTCGGAACAGTAGGCCAATTCTGCGGGCCACCCAGTTCTCCCAGTAGTGGTGGACAAATCCGTCCTTGTCTCAGTTATGCAAACTGACAATCTGGAGTGAGCCAAAATTTTTAAGGTCATTGTCTCTGTCTATACTTTGAGAGTTACACAAGGAATCATAACAGGAACTACTAAGACATATGGCTCTGACCACACACCAAACACCAAACAAACAACTCATTTGCTCCTCATAATACCCCTATAAAGTACATGCTGCTATTTTTCCCATTTCACAGATGAGGAAACTTAGGCACCATGAGATCAAGTTACCTGCCCACAGTTATATGGCTAACAAGTAAAAGAGCTGAGTTTCCTACCTAGGCTGTCCTCTTCATATGACTTGGACTCCTCTGGAGTCACTGAGGAATGAGCAGCCTCTCTGCTCATTCTGTCAGCACTCAGCCCTGTTTCACAACTTGGGGGTTAGAAGCAGGACGGGGTGGCCGTGTGTGGGGATCTGTCTCCTTTGTAAGAAGCATTGACAATGAGTGCAGAGCACAGACACAAAGGAGCTGAATATTTAGCTAAGCTCCAGTGGGGTAGTGATGAAGAGGGAGGGGAATCCTTCAGGGATATTTCAAAATACTAAGAGACCAGGAGATAACCCTTGTGCCAGCAGTAGTCACATTAGCCTTGGCTAAATTCACTGAGCTGGGTAGTTCAATGCTTAGGTTTTTAAGTCAAACAGTCCTGAATGTGAGGCCTGGCTCTGCTGTGTGACCTTGTGTGACTCAGTTTCCTCATCTGTAAAATGAAGCATGATAAAAGTCTCCATGTCATAGGATAGTTTTGGAAATTAAATGAGTTAATTATATGGAAATTACTTGATATATGTGGCATCTACTACGTGGTTATATTATATACATTTTAATACAAAGTCACTGCTTGTTATGGGAGATTTAGTGACCAGTGGCACTTTGGGTCTTTTAGGGAACAACGGGAGAAAAAGTAGGAGTGAGAAGAGAGTTTCCCAACCACTTTGTCAGGGAGAACATAGCCCTTAAGAATAAATGCCACTGCCTCCAAGTCCCACGGGCCACCCAGTTCTCCACAGGATTCCACTGGGTTAAGCACAAGATAGGGTGTGTGGTTTTCATGCCCAGTTATCAGGGCTGATGTCTCTGTAGGATTATTCTGTATGAGCAAACCCAACATCCTTTTTAGTACTTTTTTCCCTTTCAAATTTCCAAAGGGGAGAAAAAACCTTCAATGATGACTTTGGTCAAAAAAGGCTTATTTTATTCCGAGTGCCTTCTTCCAAAGGGCTAATGATATTTCTCATAAATCCTGAGCATTCCATCGGCTGTGACAGCCAGCACTTGGGGAAAGTGAGCATCAGCTTTATCTGCAAGGAGAAGTTAGGCATGATTTGCCCAGAGTCTGACAGAGTGCATGTGCCCTAGACCCTAGATTGGGGGAGGAAAGGGTCCAACTCACCCGTCCATTTAAGCTTCCAACTTTGCAGATTCCAGATTCAGAAACTTAAAGTCTTCAAATAGTTCCCACAGAAACCACACTTTTTCTCAAAGCTCTCCATGAGTTGCAGATCAAACAAACACATACAAATAAAGTGCATTTGCGTAATGTAAGAAATATATTCTCTTAATGCATCTGTCTCAGCTTTTAATTATCATAGTTTACATGACTCACAATTAGACCCATTGTCCGACAGATCTTGGCGTTGAAAATTGAGGTGGAAGTGAGTATAAGCATATGAACACATTACTGAACTCCAGGTGTCCCAGGCGCACTTAAAACATGGCAGTAAGCCCTCTCCACTTAGGATTTGATAGGATGCAAATAAATCTATTGCCATCCTCTGTCTATTCTATGAGTGCTGACGTGTGAATGATATACTAAATAAAATTCTCAAAAGGCAAATCCCACAGCACGTGAGGACCCCTTGGGACTGTGTGTAGGTGTTGTCATTCCACGGCTGGCATCAGCGTGAGCTCCCACCACTGGGATATGGAACAATTTGTAATGTAACAATTAACAGAAATATTGACTTAAGTATGCACTCGGCAGGGGGCTGGTAACCCCAGGAATCAGCAGAAGGAACGGTACCGTGCCATGTACAGTATCCCGAGGGATTCAGAAGCAATTCAAATGACTAAAGAGCACGATGTGCCTTGAGAAGCAACCCCTGCCCTCCTTTATGTGACTCCTGGTTGAAGTTAAAAATGACACTTTCTCCTCTACCCAGCTTTTGAGCTACACTGAAGGGATGGGCTCTATAAAATCACAATCTCTAAAATGCAAGGAACCACAGGGCTTCCAGTTTCATAATTTTGCAGATTCTAATTAGGAAAATGTTCCACCCACCGGTCCTTCTCCTGAGGGTGCGAGGGAGACCAGGGACATCACAAAGCCGCATTTTGCATAGCCTGGATGATTGTAAAGCTCCCTATCCGCCACCCCTCACCAACCCAAAAACCCCATCAGCTTACGTCCCACGCCCCATCTCAGTTCTCATATACTTTCATCTTGCTCTCAGGATCCCCTAAAGTAAATAAGATGTCCACCCAGATAATGGAAACCCCACCAGCTCTCAGTCAGTGCCTTTTCATGCCAATCTAACACATTTTATACAGTCGTCGTAGCTGCATCAATGAGTGCAGTCAGAGACGCCAATAGGGCTCCGCAGACATGAGCCGAGCAAATGAAACGTATTTCACGCGAGCCTTCTCTCTGTCTTATTCTAACCACTTGGCAATGGTCTCAGTTGAAAACATTGATTCTGAAAGATATAGATGGATATAGAAACTGATCAACCAGCTTATTTGCTGCTGATTACCTTACTAATAAAGGTCTCTGAGTGCTTAATTTAAATTAATACTTCCTTCATTAATGAAAATCCAGCTTAGAGCATAGAAAAATCTTGACAGATGCATTTATTGAACAAACATACGTTTATCTACACCAAGCCAATTGAATATACAACCATATTTGGTTGGGGTTATAATTGATAATGATTCTACAGTTATTACTTCAGTTAGGTGTGTGTTGTTCACCAGAGTGGCTTTGATAGTCTATTAAGGTTTTGTCCTTTTGGAGGCTGTGGGGAGCTAGGGGGACGTACGGGGACATATGCAAGGCAAGCTCAGAACATCTGGTCACTTTTCAGATAAGGAGCAAGATAGTCTAGCTTCCCCTCCCCCAACCCTTCATCCTCCTCTACCTCAAAAAACAAAAAGGAAGGCTGGCTGACTTTTCGGTGCAGTAAAAATGGAAAAGGGGACAAAAGGTGTCAAATGTGAGGACCTCGGGATTAAACAAAATTGGGTTATTGATTAACCAGTGTGTTAGTCGCCTCATGTTTGTGGCAGCCAAATACTAGGTTCTCCCGCCTTTTGGAGTTTATGGGCTAATTTCTCCCAAGACATGTGAGTTCCTTGTGCCGCGGGTGGACTCGTGGGCGGCCGGCCAGCCCAGAGTGACAGCGACTCAGTGTCTGGAAGCCCCACTGGGTTGTGAAATGAACAAGGCCCTCTGTGCCCCTGATCAGGCCCGTGGGAGCCCCCAGGCTCCGGGAGCAAGCATCTCCCAGCTCCTCAAGAGCTGACATATATCCTGCCTTTAAGACAAGACTACAATTGCAAATCCGAGAATATAAATTACACTTTCATCTTT